ACCCCCCCACCCCAAGTACACTTCTCTATGCAACCTTAATTCTGGATTCTTGTGCGAACCATAATACTCAATCATGTATCACCTCTAATCTCTTCTTTCCTTCATCTGTTTCAATACAATATACATAATTTAACCAGTTTTTTCTGTCATACCCCAACCCTGATGTCAGACCCATTCTAAAACAGTGGCACAATGCAGTATTTGTCCCTTTGTGACTGAGATATTTCACTCAGCATAATGTCCTCCAGGGTCACCCACTTTTGCATAATATTGCATGAGTTCCTTGTTTTTCAATGTGGCGTAGTATTCCATTGTGTGGATATACCACAGCTTCTCTATCCATTCGTTTATTGATGGGCCCTTAGGTTGCTTCCAACTCTTTGCTATTGTAAACAAAGCTGCGATAAACATGGGTGTGCATATATCTGCTTGGATGGCAGACATGGTCTCTCTGGGGTATATTCCCAGTAATGGGATTGCTGGGTCAAATCATATCTCTATTTGCAATTTTTTGAGAAAGCGCCACACCGCCTTCTACAATGGTTGTACCATCTTACATTCCCACCAACAGTGAATATGAGTTCCAGGTTCTCCACATCCTCGCCAGCATGTGTTGCTTGCTGTTCTGTTAAATTTTGCTATTCTTACTGGGGTGAGATGCTATCTCATAGTTGTTTTGATTTGCATCTCTCTTAGAGCGAGGGACTTTGAACATTTCTTCATGTGCTTGCTGGCCATCTGAATGTCGTCTTCAGTGAAGTGTCTGTTCATATCCTGTGCCCATTTTCCAATTGGATTATTTACCTTTATCTTATTGTGGTGTTCAAGTATTTTATAAATTCTGGATATAAGTCCCTTATCTGACATGTCATAACCAAATACTTTTTCCCCGTCTGTGGCTTCCCTTTTTACTCTATTGGAGAAGTTTTTGGATGTGCATAGGGATTTGATTCTTAAAAGGTCCCATTCATCTATTTTATCTTTTCCCGGTTGTAGATTTTTCAGGATATGTGGGAGACTGTTTATGTTGTGGATTAGAACTACTAAAGTTCTTCCAAACTTTTTTTGAATGAAGTTTATAGTCCTTAGTTTTAGTCCTAAATCCATGATCCACCTTGAGTTGGTTTTTGTATATGGAGTGAGGTGTGGATCTTGTTTGAGTCTTCTCCATACAGCTTTCCAATTTTGCCAGCACCACTTGTTAAAAAGGCTGTCATTTCCCCACTTAACTGATTTCATCTCCTTGTCAAAAATCAGTTGACCATAATAATACAGGTTTTAAATTAGTTTTGCTATTTGAAGTTTATTAGTTTTATGCCTTTTTTCTCTCAGTTCTCTTGATTTTTCACTATTTTATTTCACCTCTATTACTTATGTTAGCCAAATCTTCACTGCTTTATACTTTAAGTCAAATATAGCACTATTCCAAATATAGTGTATTAACAGTGTTCTTGAGTTTCCCTTATCATTTATGTTAATGAATCCACTTCCATGATTGCTCTAAACAGTATGTTGGTACTACTGTATTACTTATTTCCTATTCAAGTTATTTATCTTCAAAAGTAATTAGGATATTAGAAAAATATCTGTATATGTACTATATACTAATGACTTCACTCTTTTACTCATTTTTGTAGAACTGAGATTTCATCTATTATCATTTTTCTTCCACCTCAAAAGGTTATCTTTAGCATTTCTTAGCATATCTCTACTGATAATGAATTCTCAGTCCCCTCTGTCCTTTCTTCTTCTTTTGTTCTATAAAAGTCAGTCAGTTTCAAAAACTATTAAGTAAAAACTTTAAAGTTTATTATATTCTTTCACTAAATGTCTTCTGACAAATTGTTTTTATCATTGTTCCTTCACATATAATGTCTCTCTTCCTCTGAATGCCTTCAAGGATTTTTCTTTATCACTGGTTTTTAGCAATATTTCATTATGATATACTTTTAGCCTAGTTTTATGTTTCTTCTAGGTAAGGTTTATGTTTCTTCTAGGTAAGGAATCCACATTTTTACAGATGTTGGTTTTAGTGCCATCGAGTCAAGTACAACTCACAACAACCTTATGAACAAGAGATTTGTGCTCTGTTCTATTCTGTGCCATCCTCACAATCTCTACCTATTACTGTAGTCACCTTGTCAATCCACCTGGCTGAAGGTCTTCCTCCTCTTTATCATCCTCCACCTTTCCCAGCATCATGTCCCTCTACAAGGAACAGCCTCTCCTAGCAACATGCCCAAAGTATGGGGGACAAAGCTTTATCTTCGTTGCTTGCAAAGAACTCTCTAGCTATACCTTCTCTAAAACATATCTGCTTGTTCTTACAGCAATCCGTGGAAGCATCAATTTGTCTTCTGTCATCCTTATTCACTCTTCAGCTCTCTGATGCACAGCAAGTGAAAAGAGCATGGGCTAAACGAAGCACACCTTAGTAAAACTGGCATCACTGCTCCTCAATAATTGGGACAGGCCCCTGACTACAGACTTTCTTCCCAGTGCAATATGTCTCATGACTGCTGGGATCAGTGACTTGATTGTGGATTCAAGTCACTGACAGTTCAATGTTTTATCTATCATGATGTTGCCTATCAGTCCAGTGTGAGCATTTTTGTTTTCTTAACATTTAGATGTAAGCCATACTGAAGGCTGTGCATCACGTCCTCCTTACTTTCCTATTTTTATGATAGGCAGCTTCTAAAATGATTCCCAGTGATCTCTGCCTTATGGTGCTCATGCTTGTACACAACCTTTAAATGTGGGTTGAACCTACTGATACAGATATGCTCTTTACGCTACTAAATTTTAGAATATGTTGCTATGAAGCAGAAGGTTCCTAACTATGGTCTTTTGGGGGGGGGCTTCCTATTTTGTTTATTTCCTTTAAGACCACCTTCTTGCAATTTCCAGAGAGAAAATACAAAACAAGAAACAGACTTGTTTTCAAATACATAAACTGTGCTGGAGTATAAAGCATTACTGATAACATTGTTCCAGAAGAATGTCAGCTTACTCCAGGGCACTTCAATATTCCTGAGGAATAAACATGGTTTCTCTTTTTCTCCCACTGGGATGATCTCAGGCCTAAGTCACTGTTCTTTGACGTATTTTCCGTGAAGAAGATATGGGGACATGAAATCATGTTGACAGTTGGAGTAGGCCATTCCCAATCCCATGCCAGAACCAAAGGCTAATGGCCACATTCATCTTTTAAAGAAGGTGAGTGAGAAAATAATTCTTAATCCCAAACCAGTACCTATTTTCATGACCGTATCCGCCAAGCACCACTTCCTGCCGAGCTCTGAATCTGTCATGATCCCCTCCCCCAGCTCCAGTTCCTCTTACGGCCGGCCCCCGCGCTCCCTAACTATGGTCTTTATCAAAGTTGTAATCATCTTGGCCATTAATGTTCAAGCTTTTACAGGTTTTTTTATTTTTTTCCTTTCACCTGTCTTGGGGTCTCCAATTACACATATGTCATAAGACTACTGGCCACTGTCCCACAGAGCAGGCATGTTTTATTTCGTTATTGTTTGGTTTCCCTCCCATGCCTGCGCTGTGGCTCATGTTACATAGCTTCTATTGCCATGTCCTTAAGCTTTTTAACATTTTTCTTCTGCTGTGTTACCTCAGCTAGAGTAGATTATTATCTACAGATAATCCATATGGATTTCTTTTAAATATATTTCACTTCTCTTTCTATTATGTTTTTCTTTACCTTCTTAAATATTTGTGGCATATTCCTATTTAGAGTTTTCCTATTTATCCAGATTTCTGTCTGATACCTACCCTTTTCTAAATAAGATCTTGGAGCCCAGGGAGGGTCTTCTTCAGCATAAGGATCACTATACTCAACCACAGCTGCTTCCTCTTCTTCATAATCTTCTGGAGGAGGCGGGGGCGGGGGGGACTCATCAAAGACTGGTTCTTCCGCAGGTGGTGGTGGAGGCGGAGTATCTGAAACTAAGAATGTATCAAGCTGACAACGAAATACATATTACACAAAATTCCATATTTCCTACTGTAAACTCGAAATTCATGGAATATTAATCTTTACTTTAAAATAATAATCTTACCAAGAATCAATGAGAAAGAGAAGTTGCTCCACTAAATGTAACATATAACTCCCCAAGGATAACATCTCCTTCTTGGAGTAGTACTAATATTGAAGGTTTACCTAAAGTAATTACTGAGTATTAACTGAGCCTTTATAGCTGTTGTACTTATAATCATTTTCAAAGAATAAGCTCAGTACAGCATAGTTTGGCTTTATACTATATTCAGGAAGGAAGGATCATGAAAACGTTAATAATTTAGACATTTATAATCTATATTTCACTTCCTTTAAAAATTAGCAGGAGTCCAGCAAGCAGTAAAATTTTAATATCTACTGTCTTCCTTTTAATAAGTAATTTTACAAGTACTTGCCAAAATGGGTAGAAGGTGATGATAAACAACTTTAGGTCATTTCATCTAGGAAGAGGTCTGTTTTTATTGAATTTCAATTCATTCAGGCTAAGGGAACTCTGCTGGTATTTTCTGATGAAAGATGAACTGCTAACCGAAAGGCTGCACCTCAGTGGTGGCTCAAATCTACCAGTGACTCTGGAAAGAAAATGGACTGTCACGTTCCAAGCAATTTAACAACTTCTGAAACCCAATGGAAGGTCAGCAACGAGTAAATTCTCATTTGAGTCCAATGAACTGAGGGAGGGAGTATTTTAATTTTTTATCCAGATTTTCTTCAGGCTTAATGTCTAGGTATCAGCACACAGTAATATTAAAAAGTTATCTCCAAACTCAGAGAACTCAATTCAAATGCTGACACATACTTGAGCACACCTCAACATAAAGAAACCAGTATTGACCAACTGCCAGTTTTACTGAACATCACTAGTTCTTATTTATGGGGTACTGGTATATTTTCTGTTACATTCTGTGGGGAATCCTATTGTCTGGGTTTTTTAAGTCTGACTCTACTAATGGAAGCAGATGCATTTCAGAATGCTGTTTACTCCTGATGAGACTTATCCATAGCAACATCATACATCTTATCATTTGTCTTATATTTCTCCCATCTGCTCTACTACTCTATGCTTATTAATTTACTTCAAAGACTTCAATAATTTATCTATTGCAAATATACTTTAGTCACAATAGTTTTCATAAACAAAAAGATCAAGATTTGTGAATTTGTATATAGTTTATAAAAAGCTACATATGGTTGATTATGAGAAAAACCAAATATATGGACTATATGGATCTTATCTAGGTCTGTGAGATAATACCTCTCAACACCACCACAAAACTTATATTCAAAGAAATTTTGTTTTTGAAAACAATGACTGAGAAATTACACTGCAAAATAATTCAAAGACACTATCATCCCTCATTTTGACCTTTTCTACAACTGCTTCAAAGCCAATTTAATAACTTTCCGTGAAATTCTCTAGGGAATTCATTTTCTGTTTTAAGTCTGGGTCTGCCATTTTTGTGGCTTTACAATGTTAGTTATCCCTTTCTAATGTATTGCTTCACATAATCTTTACCATCATGGGTGGCATTACTCATTTTATGGATGAGGAAACTGGCTTTCCAAATGAAGCAATTCTTCTAAGGTATGACCAACAAATAAGCTAAATAGCAGGAATTTAAACTCCAATACCTGCGATCTTCAGTGTTACACTATGGCATGAGATAAATCTCAAAATTTTTCATTATTATTCATTCAAAAAGCATCAAACCGAGAAGTACTCAGATTAATGTCTCAAATTTGGGCTGGGTGAAGTGAAGGACTCTGTAAGATGATGCTGTTTTGGTTGAGGATCTTCGTGGACTGTGTGGTTGGTTTTTTGGTTTAGTTTAGTTTGGTTTGTTTTAATTTAAGCATCTTGTTTTAGAGTCAAGACCTCCTGGAGGGCCCTTATATTTAAAAGTTGGGCTGAGGGATTTTATTTTTAATCCCTTGTTACTATTTTGGAGGATCACTGTTATACAGCACTCTGGTCAATTTGCTGTGCTGAAGCAATCTGGGTTTGCTGTGACACTGACCATTTGCGCAACACTGGAGTCTCAAATGATACCATAATGAAGCAACTGTGCCAGAGGTGTGCCAAACTCTATAATGGCTACCCATCATGGGCAGTGTTTGGTGGAGCTCACAGATTGATTCAGGTTTGGAAGCAGGAGTGGCATCCACTTCCTACCTAAACCACATGCCTCTGGAAACTATGAATTTGGAGAAATGACGACAGCGATAGAAAAGCTTCAGGCCTTTTGTTCACAGGGTCGCTACGAGTCATGCTCCATTCGACGACAATCAACAACATGAAGAGGTGTGGGCAAGTCATGGAACCATTCATCAAGTTTAGGAAGTATTTTAAGGTATCATGGGAGCACATATCAGTGTTTTAACTCTCTTCTGTAGTTCGGGGAAGGATTGCTGAGAACTAAAGAATGAGTAAAAATTGATGAGAGTAAGGGGGAAAAGGGTAGCTATTTCATGTTCCATATAAAGCTGGGGAAGGGGAGAGTGCAATTGTTAAGATTTCAGGAACTCTTCCAAGAACTAACTAGCATTCAGTGTGGCTGGATGAATGAAGAGACTGGAGTGAATCAGGAAGGAAAAGCTTTGTAAAATTTTGAACTCTATCTAAAGAACAATGCTGTCTGTTGTTGCTAGAAACCATTCGGTTGGCTTTGTTCACTGCAAACCTCTGAACAACAGATCTGCATCTTGCCCTATCCTGTGCCATCCACACATCTGACCTGCTGCAAACCTCTGAACAACAGATCTGCATCTTGCCCTATCCTGTGCCATCCACACATCTGACCTGCTCAAAACCACTATTACAGCCACCATATCAAACCATCTTGTGAGAATCTGACCCTCTTTTCCCAACATGATATTTTTTTCCAAGGATGAGCCCCTGCCTCCTAACAACATGCCCAAAGTGTGTGAGATGATGTTTCACCATCGCTGCCTCTACAAAGCACTCCTGTTATACTTCCTTCAAGACAGACTTGTTTGTTCTTTTGACTATCCATGAGAAAGTCAATACTCTTCTTTCTCCACACAATAATTATTCTGTCACCTTTAGTCACTGCCCAGCTTTCAAATGCATAAGAAGTGAATATGTCATGGCCTGGATCAGGCACACCTGAGTCTTTAAACAGACATCTTCGTTCCTCAGCCTTCTGGAAAGGTCCTTGACAGCAAGACTTTCCCAATTCAGTAAATTCTGATTTCCTGACTGCTGCTACCATGGGTGTTGATTGTAGATCCAAGTAAAATAAAAATAAAATCATAAAACAATTTTAAGGAGGAAAATAATAAGATCATAGTTGTACTAATTATTTCAGGATTAACTAGTTCACGGGTTATTTTTGTTACTGTTGGGTTCCTCCTCTGATTTCACTACACCTTGGCTCTTAATAAAACCAGACTCTTCATAAAGTCCAACATTTTGTTGCCAAACAGTAACAAAGTAATGCACCTGAGAAGCTATGAACATAATCCCAAAGATAGGTATACATGACTCCAAGGTGAATGTTTTGAAGATGACAACATTCATTTGAATATATAAATTTTGCTCCATTTATAAAATCAGTCATAGTATACTTCTTAAATGCTGATTCTTACTTTACACATGCTGTAGGTGAGAAATCTGAATATGAAAAGCTAAGAAAAAGTACTAAATTAAAAGGTAATCATTATGCAAAGGCGTTTGACTTGTAGATATAACAAACTGTGGCTGACTCTGAGAAGAATGGGAATCCCAGAACACTTGATCGTTCTAATGTGAAACTTATACTTGGACCAAGAGGCAGTCGTCAGAACAGAACAAGAAAACACTGCATGGTTCAAAATTGGGAAAGGCATACGCCAGCGATGTGTCCTATCTCCATACCTTTTCAAAATGTATGCAGAACAGATTATCCAAGAGGCTGGGCTCTATGAGGAAAAGTGTGGCGTCAGGATTGGTGGAAGATCTATCAACAATCTGCATTATGCAGATGACACAACCCTGCTTGCCAAAACTGAGGAGGACCTCATGCACTTGCTGCAGAGGGTCAAGGACTGCAGCCTTCAGTATGGATTGAAGCTCAATGTCAAGAAGACAAAGATTCTAACCACTGGACCAACTGGCAGCATCAGGATGGATGGTGAAGAGATTGAAATTGTTAACAACTTTAGTCTGCTTGGCTCCACGGTCAACACTCTTGACACCAGTAGCCAGGAATTAAAAAAACGTATTGCGATGGGAAAGTCTGCTGTTAGGGACCTCTCCAGCGTACTGAAGAGCACTGGTGTCATTCTGGAGACTAAGGTGCGTCTGATACAGGCTATGGTCTTTGCAATCACTTGTTATGCATCATAAAGTTGGACAATGACTAGGGAGGACAGAAGGAGAGTGGATGCTTTTGAGCTGTGGTGCTGGACAAGAGTACTGAATGTACTATGGACTGCCAAGAAACAAACAGATTCATCCTGGAGAGGGTTAAATTAGGCTGCTCCTTGGAGGCAAGGATTCTGGGGCTTCGTCTGACATACTTTGGACATGCTGTAAGGAGGGTCCTAGGAGAAGAGACATCATACTTGGGAGGGTGGAGGGATGGCGCAGGAGGGGAAGACCCTCTATGAGGTAGATTGATTCAGTGACTGAGGTAATCGAGATGGGTGTGTCGGAGGCAGTGTGATTGGCACAGGATAGAGCAGGGTTTAGGGCTGTTGTACATAGGGTCGCTATGAGTTGCAAGCGACTCGATGGCATATAACAACAATAACAAAATCATAAATGATCTGCAGATCTGCGGATTTTTAAAAATAATAGGTAATATTGCCATAATGTTTTACTTAAGATGTCCCTACATCTTAAATTTGTAACTATACATTTCAATAATATCAAATTAAAATGGTACTATTTGAAGTTACTGTCGAGTACTTTTGTTCACAGGGTCAC